GTTTGCTTGTTTGTATAAGTGTGTTATATGTGTATTATATGTGTGTTGTTTTTGTTTGTCACAAATGTTTGTATCGTGGTGTATTATATGTTTGCCGTATTTGTGTTTACGTACGTACTAGAGTTGCTGGTGAAACTAAACTATAATTGTATACCAATTTTCACCAATTATCAATCACCAATCAGCATTGGTGAAACTGGTGATACTGGTGATACTGGTGAAACTAGTGAAATTAGTGATACTGGTGATACTAGTGAAACTGTGAATTGGTGAAACTGGTGATACTGGTAATACTAATGAAACTGGTAAATTGGTGAAACTGGTGAAACTGGTAAAACTGGTGATACTGGTGATATTGGTGATACTGGTGATACTGGCGAAACTGGTGATATTGGTGAAACTGGTGACACTGATGACACTGGTGAAATTGGTGATATAGGTGAAATTGGTATACTGATACTGGCAATACTAATTATTATATGGGTCTTATATAAAGACCCGTGCTTTTTTCACTCATTTATTATACATGTTTAAAAAAATAACTAAATAGAATACTTCTATATTTGATAAAAATATGAAAGTATTCTGATTTAATTATTTTATTTTTATTATTAAAGTAGTTTGTCCTCGCATTTTTTAAAAATATTAGACATTCACATTCTTAGATCTTTTTTTTTAATTGTTATTGGATGATGTCAGTTAAAATTGTCTTGGATGGATTATAGTAGAGTGTCCAGTGTACCGCAGTGGTAGAATCTGCGCAGAATTTGTACAGAATTCTGCGAGCAGAATAAAAATTATTGGCGAATAGTCTATTGTGACCAAATTAAAATTTTTAAAATATTATTTATATGTCACAGAATTTGCTAATTTAACGATAATTGCTGCAGAATTTTTCAGTTAGAGCAGCAGTACCCTGGACGCTCTAGATCATAGTATAATTAGTCTCTTAAAGTCTTGTTGAATGTAGTTAGATAATATTAAGGCTTCGCTTTCTTTAAGTTCTTATTAGACAGAATTGCATATTATTAGATTTTTTTTTTTTTAATTTTTATTGGACAAGTCATACATTATTAGGTCTTTGCTTTTAGATCTTCGTTTTCTTTAAAATTCTTATTAGACAGACTCACATTTTTATATTTTACTTCAAAATTCTTTTTGGGCGGATTGCACTTTATTAAAGTTTTCGCTTTTATTAAATTCTAATTAGACTGAGTTATATGTTATTTTGTTTTCACTTTATCTAAACGAGATTATAATATTAAATTTTGTTTTCTTTAAGACTTTTAGATAAGGTTTTACGTAGTTATGTTCTTGTTCTTAGATTAGGTTAAGTTCTTCACTTTTTTAAAAAAAAATTCTTATTGAATGATATTACAACAAGGTAATTTAACTACAGGTTGTAAGCATTAAAGATAGGAAACCAATTATTTATTATTACGCACAAGACTATAAAATGTACTAAAAATATAAGCGATACAAATAAGTATCTTCCTAATAAGTGTACCTGGTACACTAAGAGTCCTTTAAAAAACCACTTCCTATTACTCTATTCTCGTTGAATAAAAGAAGAACCTTTCCAAATTGCTATCCCTATTTACAAAGAATGTCTATTTACATACATGTTATTAGACTCAAATTGACTATATCGATATACTATTTACACGAATGTAGTAATATAATAATCTAAAAGTCTAATTAAAGTAAACCCTGTGACTATAAACTATAGTGTTACAAAAAAGCTTATTTACAAATGTCACATTATTTTTCGTCACAATAAGAACTTGACGTTATTAGGTTTATGCTTGAACTTTGATTCAATTGTTCGATATTTGCTTGAAAGAATTAATAATTTAAATCATAGATAGTTTCTTCTTTATTTATACTGTTATGTAAAATTGGCTTTTATTGAGTTTAAAGATGATGCACAGGTTGTTATGTCAGACCCGTACAATAACTATAATGATAACTAATACTGATAATTCAATTTATATTTATATTGGTCATGTGGCTGTTAAAAGTTCGATCCCAGTTCCAAACTTTAACTCAAGTTTTCAAAAAATCAATATTTTAATATCGAAAATGTGATATAAAAGTTTCCCAATACATCTATATCTTTGAAAGTGCTTGGAAGCTTGACTTATAGAAGATTTGCTAACACCTAAGTATTTTATTTGAAAAGCACAACACCAGCTGGCCAAAGGTGCCAAAAATAAATTCAATTAAAGGACTTTAAGTCCACAGAATACATTGTGAGTAATTCTTTTATTTCTGGCACCTTTGGCTAGCTAGCATTCTTCCAAACACATGACTACTCGCACCTGTGCTTTTCAAACATTTTTGCTTAGTAAACAGTTAGTAGAGATGGGTAAATGGCTATAAACTATTTCATAATTAATCTGATAAATAATCGTGAACTAGTTCACAGTCATATTTGATCAATTTGAATTTGATTTGACCTGCTTCTTACTCATTCTACCATTATGATGATACCAGCGCAATTTCACTTGCTAATTTTCCTAGAAGCATATCATCATTTTAGTTCAAATTACTTAGCTCAAATTACTCACAATGTATTCTGCAAACTTAAAGTCCTTTAATTGAATTTATTTCTGGCACCTTTGGCCAGCTAGCATTCTTCAAAACACATGACTCACTCGCATCTTGCTTTTCAAATATATTTGCTTGGTAAACAGTTAGTAGGAATGGGTAAATGATTATAAACTATTTCATGATCAATCTGATAAATGATCGTGAACTAGTTCACAGTCATATTTGATCAACTTGAATTTGATTTGATCAAATTTGACTTGATCAAATATTTGATTTCAAATTCAAACTTTGATTTGCTTTTGCAAAGCACTAATTTAGAACAATAACAGATATTATATGAATGCTTTCTAACTCCTTAATTATACAATTGAAATAAACAGTATGCAGAAATAGCACTTCTCATATTTGGATTTTGTCTAGAACAAACTCAAAGTTAGTCTTAAATAAGAATATTAAATGGTGTGTCTAGTCTAATCCCAGTTCGGTCTCTAAAAATTCTAGTCCAAGACTAGTTAAGAACTAGTTCATAACCCCAGTATGAATTCTAATATAGAACAATAATAAATGAGTACGTACGTATGTATTGTGTTTTATGGCCCTTTTCAGCGGTTCACACTTTTTTCATTAGTATAATACATTTATTCTAATGTAGTAATACGGGTGCTTTATTTAGTTATAAATAACCCAAATATATATTATAATACTACACTGTTAAAAAAAGCTTAAACCGCTGAATTGGCCCTATATCGATATGGATTCATTCAATATTATATGTAATCATATTTGGATCAACCTTGAAATCACAAAATTATAGAACAAGTTTCAAACTAGTTCTGAATTGTTTCTAAAAAGTCTATTTCTAGACTCAGTCCGAACTAGCTCATTATAAACTATTTAATACCCTAGTTTCAAAATAAATAAGTAAAATCAACTCAAGTTTTTTAAGCAAAAATAGTTAATAGATTTTTTGCAATTAGTATAATCAGTAAATCGTGTGAATTCTATATATTATGCATATTACTATAGTTTCACAATAGTAATATACAGGGTTTACAAATTCAAATTACTGTGATCAGCAAAATTCATGCATCACACATCACGGGTATATTATGTATAAAATTCTAATCTTAAATATTTTTAAAAGTTTGATTGAGGATTTCTCAACAATAGCCTAGACAATTTCAATGTTTAAGGCCATTTTCGAATCCTACAAGCCTTCAGAATTTGAAAATGGCTTTGAATATCGAAAACAATCAGCTATTATCAAGATAGATTCACTTGAAGTTTGAGAAAATTTAGTAAAGAAAACCAAAAAATTTTAGTATGCTTTGATCCGACCACTTCAAGATATAGTACACTAATAGATGATATACAAGAGAATTGGAATTTGACAAGGAATTTTTTGGAATTCTAACTTTTTAGATAGAAATTTTTTAAAAAATAATAAAAAATAATGAATTTAATAGAATTTTACGGATTTCTATGTGATGAATGAGTAATTTGAAAAACACGATAAATAGTTGCATATATGTACGTACTAGTTCAAAGAGAACTATAACACTAAATAAATATCATGATACGTAAACAATACGTATAATGGTAAGAGTATCGAATTCTTGTATGTAACTATTATATATATATTATGCGAATATAAGACTATTTTTTAATTATATTATTATTAATGATATTCTCATTGTGATGAATTTATCAAATATCCCAAAATTTGAAAATTTTGGCTACTAATAAATTTAATTAAAATAATTATTATTTCTGAATGAGAATACATTATTATGTATAATAAAGTTCTATATCTAATAAGATACATTAAAGATGGGAAAGATGAGTTAGTATGTAGGAAAGATGGGTTAGATGCATTATTAATTAAGATCAGAGGTTCTCTGTATATTCAGATTTTAGCAGTAGCTCTGTATGCAATTGATACACCAAAGTTTTATGTATAAAAGTTAAAAGTTTAAAACTAACCAAAATTGTATTCTATTGTTGCAATTTTTTTTGCACTATTATTTTTAGTATTATAATTACCTTTTCACGATTATGTATTTTAGCGACATTATCAAGCTTTTTATGAGAATTTTAATATGCATATATTATATTGTCGCAAAATAATACTATATGTATTATTTTAAATATATGCGCGATATTTGAAATACACGCATAGAATCATTATTTTAAAACAAGGATAATTTTTCTGTGCTTGAATTTTCAAATTATTATGTATTTACATCCACTTGGATTAAGTATTGTTTTAAAACACGCATGGGCATTATGTTGAAATCATTTATACTATCCTCATATGATACGATTGTTTAAATAATGTCAATGTCTGTTATTTTGCAACAATATAGTATATCGATGCTAGAGTATCTAGCCTATACAATTTTAGAAAATTTCTATTGTTCAAACTGTTAAAACAATAAACAATTCTGAAATCAATAAATTTGAATACTCTAATTGATACGATTTATATATATATATGTTGTAGGTGGGAATAGAATCATAATAAATTTCGAAATCTACTTAAATTAGAACAGAATAATTATACTAAAAATCCCAGCTTTAATCTTAAAAGTTTTGAATCAATTTTAAATTCTGTTTCCGTTTATGATACATATACTATACAGTATTTCTAATTAAAAAACTTTATATTAGCATTAAAAATATAACCGATCAGACATACGATCATATAAGTCCAAATAATAGTGAAGTTACAGCTTTACAAAATATTTCAAGTATTTCTGAAGAAGAATATTCCGATCAAGTAGAATCATCGTCGATACAAGAAAAAAAAAGAAAACATGCTGGGGGAAAAAAGATGATAAAGTATGGAATGATGTTATTAAAGGTGATAAAGTAGGGCAGGAATTTTATAACGCGAAATGTAAGTGGTGCAATACAAGTTGGTTAAGAGGACGTCCATATGAAATGAAAGCTCATTTAGCTAGAAATTGTGATAATGCACCTGATGATATAAAAATAAAATGGCGAGACTTTTTAGCAGAAGGAACTTCAAAACCAATAGCTCGAGCAAAAAGTGTAAAGCAATCGAATATTACTACACATTATCAACAAATTATGCCTATTTCTGATACTAAGGCTAATGAACTTGATCAAGCAATTCTTAAGGCATGGGTGTGTTGCGGGTTTTCTTTTTGTACAATAGAAAATTCATTTATTGTTGATCTTTTTAAACTTGCTATTCCGGGATATACTTTGCCATCACGTACTATGCTTTCTGGCCGACTTTTGGATCAAGAAACTGTTAGAATTGAAAAAAAAATTAAAATAGAGCTGGAAAAAGAAAAAAATCTTACACTTAGTAAGTTTTAATTTTAAAAATAATATTTAAATAGCACTATATAGAATTTTTATTATTATCTCAAAGGGTTACGGATTAACTTCCTGAATTCGCCAAAACCATAATATTAGCAATCCATTTTATTTACAAAGCATAATTGGAGTATATAGTAAAGTAGTACAATGCGTAAATACAAATTAGAACGAACGTATAGAAATCAAGATAGTATGTATGGTTTGTAAAAGAAAAACTTCATCAAGCCCATGTTACTTATACTAATTACCCTAACAGGAAAAAATGGTTACTTATAAAAATATAAAAATTGAATGTTACAAGTCTATATCGATATTAGCTATCAAAATTTAGTATACCTGATACTGGTAATTTTCGTATGTTCGTCCTAATTTGTACTAGCATACAGTACTACTTTACTAAATACATGCATAATTTTAATATCTTATTTTTTCAAACCATATTGTTATAAAATAATGTGCAGTGGTAAAATTACGAATTTCATCCATTATTTTAAATAACCCCATGCCCATTATTTCATAACAATATGGTATATTATTAATTAATAATAAATTTTTTTAATAATGTATTTAACCTAAATTATAATTAATTTATTTAGGCTTGGATGGGTGGACATCTCCAAGAGAAGACTCAATCTATAACTATGTTGTTACAACACAAACACGAAAAGAATATTTAATAAAACTTAGATCATATAAAGAAAGTCAGACCGGGCAATTTATGGCAACTGAAATTAAAAAAGTATTACAAAATATTGGATTTAAAAAATTCGCGGCAATTGTAACTGATCATGGGTCTAATTTAAGAACTGCACATCAAAATATATATAATGAATATCTATTTATTTTAAATTTAAGATGCATATCACATGCAATTAATTTAATTGCATCAGATTTAGCAAAAATCGATTCTGTTAAAGCAATTATAACTAATTGCAATAGTATTTTGGAATTTTTTAATAGATCACATATTGCAAATAGTTGTTATAAAGAACAAATGACAGCTATGAACATAAAAGGTAGTGAAATTCAATCATATACTAAAACTTGATGAGGTTCTTTGTATATCACAACAGACTCTATAATTCGATCAAAACCTGTATTTGACTGGGTAAATAAATAATAATTATTATTTTTACTTTAAGGAAATAATCTAGTAAATTTTAGATTTTTGTTAGATAATAATGTCTGATGAAACTCATGTGATCTGGCAATACCAAATACTATATAGCGTGGACCAAAAGACCTCTTTTATATGATTCTCAGAGGTCTAGAATATATTGTACCTGGGGTACTAAAGATAGATAATTTAAAAATAATGGCATTTAAAATGTAAAGTACTCTGGGACTAAGTACTGATTAATTGCACTTGGGAATATACTGCGGCACCATATAGTTCCTCTACACTGATCATAATATTCCTCTGATATAGATACTTAAATTATGAAGTATCCAGATATTTTAGTCCACGCTATACAGTAGTTTCGTCAATTCATTAATGATAAAATATGAGTTTTGTCAACTTGTCAATGGTACAATAGTTTTGTTAGGCATTTTATTGTTAGGCCATTTGAAGTTGATTCTTCGGTTAACGTAACCCCCCCTCCTGGCCATCCCCCCAAAAACGAACAAGCCAATCACAGCATTGTAAAATTTTTGTCCAATTTGTAAAATTGTTGTCCAATTATATTCATCTAGTAATCATCTTGTGATTGGCCTGTTTAATTTTTTTGTTTAATTTGTTACCCTCCCCCCCTGTCTGAGCTCAAAAGTTGACGTTAACCGAAGAATCAACTTCAAATGGCCTTAGAGTGGTTCTTAAGTTTGGGTTGATTATTGATATTAATGTCTTGGCATATATAGTACTTATTATTAAATTTTTATTAAAATTTTTTTACAGCTTTTAGAAAATCGTACTGAAATTATTTCAAATAATAACGTGTTTGATTTACTTCAAAATGAAGAGTTTTTTTCAAAGTGTTGTCAAATAGCATCTATCCTTAAACTAGTAAAGGAATTAACAAATATTCTTGAAGCCCGCAATGCAAGTTTAGCAGAATGTTTTATTGGTTTAACAAGACTTGCAACTAGTATTAATAGAATAGAGTCAGGAAATCAGTGGAAAACTTTAATGATCAACAATTTCAATTGTCGTTCTGAAGAATTTATTAATAATTTCTATATATTAGCCTATTGGCTTCATCCATTATATCGCGATAATAATAATAATCTATACAAAATAAAATCTAGGTTGCAAACTACTGTAGTGCACTGACCAAAAGACTTGGGGTCTAATACAAAATACCCATCAAGCAACTTACAAAAGACTCAGGTATATTATACAGCAGTGGGTCTGTATCGCAAGAAAAAGAAATTTTATTTATATACATACTCCACATTTATGATAAGTAGTCTAAAATTTTAAAAAACATATATTTAATTAATAGAGATTTCATGTTTTGTACTGGGTATTTTGCAAGGGGGGATATTGAAAAAGAAGGATCCTTTGGTCAGTGCACTACGGTAATAAAATTCGTTATAATCGTCAAATTTACTTCTATATAATCTGATCTACATAGCGAATTTATGTTTACAGCTTATATTTTATTCTAAATACTATTTTTTAATATTTAATATTTAATTTATTAATTTATAGGCCGTGGATTACAACAAGCTGCATTAAATAAAATATACGAAACTGCATCAACTATTTGGTTAATTTTAACTGTACAGAAGCATCATGTTTGACTCTTTTATCAGAAATAAGGTTATGGAAGCATAAAGAATCTCTGTATAATCTTAGTTATAATCAACTTAAAGAAACACTGCTAAAGTGGTGGATGAGCGTGAATATACATGAAGAAAATGATGAATTACAAGAACTCGCTTTATTTTTATTTTCAATTGTCCCATCCCAGGCGGTTTGTGAAAGAAATTTCTCTACACTAAAATGGCTTTTTGGAGATAAGCGTATACAATTGAGTTTATTACGAATTGAATCTATAGCAAAAATTAGATCGTTTTATATTTCAAATACAGATAAAGAATTGAGAATTTATGGTAAAGATATAAATGATAAAGATCTAAAAGAAATTTTAAATAACTCTGTAATTATACAACAAACTGAAGATTCAGAAATCGATGATAATGATAATGATAACCATTCGTTGACTGATAATTTAAATCTTAGTCAACTCGTTGATTTAACTTTACCTGAATTTTTATCAACTAATAATGCTTTATTTGAATCTGCTATTAATAGATTATCTTCTTACGAAAGGGCTTATAATTTAGAAAATAGAGACTATGATCCAATTCGGTTAGCACAGCAAATAATGAATGAAGAAAGTAATAATTTGTAATTCATTAGATATATCGATATATTTTTTATTTTTTATCAGCTATATACTTTTTATATTTTTTAAGTATTTAGTATATTTTGATACATATATTATTAACATTCAATTATTAAAATTTGTTTTTATAAAAAATTATATACATATAGTAGTACAAATAATTATTGTTGGATTACAGGATTAGTAACTTTAATAGCTTGCGTATGTGAGATATGTAATTGATCCGTAATTGATCCGTAATTAATCCATAATCGAGGTACTTAATTTAATATAACACAACTGATGTAATTAATTTATAATATCGAGGGAGGTTATTAATGTAATAATAATAATTATTATTGCTCGGTCTGCTATCATTTACAGGTTTTACAGGCTCTATATCAAATATGCTTAAACTTAATGACTATATCTCTAAAGGAACGTTTCATCCAAAACAATCCTATAACCTATTGCATGTCTATGACCACATATAAACATATTATATCAGGAATGTAGCCGAAAGAATCATATAGCTATAAAGAGAATCGGTGAATGTTACTAAGACAGATTCTTGCACTGCCTGCAGAAGCTGCAAAGTCTAGTCACCAAAATGTGAGGTTCATGCGCTGTATACCACAGCTGTAAAGCCTAAACACCAAACACAAGGTCTTTGCACTGCCAATAGCAGCCGCAGAGCCTAAATATCAAATACAAGATACTTTCATACAGCAGCCACAGAACCAAAGGGCGGGAGGGGTGGGATAATAGAGCCAGCCTTAACTCCAAGGCAAGCGATAGCGAAAAGAAAGATAATCTCTCTGCTAACCAAAAGCTCCTTAAATACATTACTGGTTACATATTCAGAACCATATGATTACCCCTTGTTTCCCTTACCATTCTCATAGTAATTCACCTTTTAACAACTATATTAACCAGAAAATACTCGTATCTAACAAGACACCATAAAGCTGTACACAAATAACTATAACAAGTTAAACGACAAATTGAACATGTGATCTATAAAGTCATCTAATCATACAAAGTCATCTGATTTCGCAATGAATACTCTGTCACTTTGTTGACAAGCTTTTCAATGTAATACGATTGTTAAGAATCTTAATATTAGAATAATAAAGCGATAACAAATACAACATTTAAGCTTATACAACAAGTGAGAATCTTATTCTTATTATATTTTGTATAATTAAGCTATCAAAGTCTGAAGTCTTTATTAGAAGAGCGAATAGGTGCCTCTTTTATACTTTCAAGATATATATAAGATCTTAAAAAAAACATTAGATACATGATCATTGTTAATCTATTTCTATACACCATTCCTATAGCATTTTTAACCATTTTGGATTCCTTTTAACTACGTCTAGCTATTTTTATACCAACTTATTTCTCTCCCAGACATTTGTCTAAACATTTTGTCTACAACTATATCTCTAGTACTTTCGCCTCTTCCTCAGTATGATATATAATAAACAAATAAAAGAAATCTATAGATGTGAAAATAAACAAATACAATAAATCGAACAAATTTTAATTCTTCGAAATTACTAAGCCTTAGCCACCTGCTTAGTCTCACAATATTCTTGTGACTTAAGTCTTAGTCAAAATATACATTTTTATTAATTCTTTGGTTAACATCACATTTCCAGGACTCTCAGAAGGGAAGGAGGGGGTAAAATGAAACAAACATATGAAACGAACATATAAAAATGAATAAAGATGGGCCAATTTCATTGGTTGATATAAATCAGGTGACTGGTGAGAGTCATCTAGCGTTTTGATTGGCTGTTCGTTTTCGGGGAGAGGTGGTGGGAGACTCCAGCTGAGGGGGGGGTGATGTTAACCAACAAATTAACTTCAAACGGCCTTATATAATATCCGATCTGATTTTGCAATAATAATTGCTTTGTTACTTTAATTTATTCACAGTATAGCTAATACAACTACTGTATATAAATCGTTCAAGAAATACTTTTTATTAAAGCATCTAAGTGCAGTTTCCTGAGAAATATGATATATATACTTAAATTAAAAAATTGGAGAATTTACAAATAAGGGCCCGGAAAGTGAAAATATGGGCCCAAATTAAAAATAATTACTTATGAGGGTCTAATTTTTAAAAAATATTACATATAAAGGCCCAAAATAACTGACATGATTAAAGCCTGTGGCTTGATCGTTATTATTATACGTAAGAAATGTAAACATTGATAATTATACTATCAATCGTAAATTAGTAATTATAAATAAGAAATGAAATTTTTTTATTTTATTTTCTTTATATAAAATTGCTTATTATAACAAACCACTATGATGTCAAGTAAAGCACTGCGAATTGGCATGATACTTACAATATGGAAGATGCTTGTCCAGCTCTAGAGAGCTACTCTGTTGAAACTTCTTCGCTTTATAAATAATTGTGCTAGTTTAATGCTATTTTTTATACCATATCTAAGCGAAAATAATTATAACCAACGCATCATTTATTCTTTTATCTAATAATTGGTATATAGATAAATCTAAATGCTTATAATAAAAAATCGTTATAAGTCAAATTGTAATAGTACTTGTGGCACAGTAATTCTGTGATCACATTTTTTCAGTTATCAGGCCCTTGTATGTAATGATTTTTAATTTGGGTCTGTATTTGTAATTATTTTCACTTTCCAGACCCTTATTTGCAAATTCCTCTAAAAAATTATTTAAATCAAAGTTAAATTTTTTGAAAAATTTTATTAGATTTACTATCCAAATAGTTTTTTTAAAAATCAAAATCGATATCACCAGTTTTACCAGTTTTCACCAGTATTACCAGTTTTATCAGTATCACCAGTTTTACCAGTATCACCAGTATCACCAGTTTTACCAGTATCACCAGTATCACCAGAATCACTAGTTTCACCAGTATCACCAGTTTCACCAGTATCACCAGTTTCACCAGTATCACCAGTATCACCAGTATCACCAGTTTCACCAGTATTACCAGTATCATCAGTTTCGCCAGTATCACCTAGTTTCACCAGTTTCACCAGTTTCACTAGTATTACCAGTATCACCTAGTTTCACCAGTTTCACCAAATCACTTTTTAAATTTCACCAGTTTCACCAGTTTCAACTGGTAAAATTAATTTGTTTCACCTGCAACACTAGTACGTACATAGATACATGTTTGTTGAATGGGTTTGTATAAAATGTAATTTAGTAAGTGGAGATGAAATTTAAATTGATTTGGAATCATTAAGGTTAGAGTTCAAGCGAGGATTAGATTTTTAGATATAGTATTTTAATTTAAATGGATCCCAAGTCAATTTTAGTTCCATTCCTACTTACACATTGATATTAATAAAAAAAATTTTCATGATTAATGAGCTTACTATATATTATGTTAGACTGTATTATTTGAAACGTTGTGTTTGTTGTTAGACTTATTTGTTATATGTTAGATTATTTGAACAAGTTGTATTCCTTATATATGCTGCGCCGTAATCGAATAAACCAATTTGTTGTATGTTTGATTATTTGAACAAGTTGTATTCCCTACTTGTGCTGCGCTGCAGTCGAATAAAACGTAATAATAGCATAATACTGGGTAAAATATATATAGGGAATGTCTAAAGCGGAGTAGGTTCTTACAAAATATATATTTTATTGAATTAACTTTAGGGTTAGGGTGCATCTTTTCTTAATGTTAGATTAGGTTTTAGATGGTTATATATATGCAAAATTGTCTTCTCCCGACATTTTTAATTAGACTGCCGTTTTTTGTATTTTGCTTTGCTTCGCCGACGATCATCACAATCCTATAAATTTATTGGTCATATGTCACGTAATTGTGCTCCGCTTTAGACGACCCTTTTATATTACACAATATATATGATTGTTATATGAATATTTAGTGCGATATGCAATTATGTTACACGCTTATAAATTGTGTTACACGCTTATAGTATAATGTGCAAAAATGTTATACAAATATACAATTATAGATACTTAGTTTATTTATTTATTATTGGTGTTTAACACCATAGGTGTATTTTAGTAAAGTTGAATCATGATTCATCTAAACAAAATATTTTTTATATATATAAATTTTATTATAAGTCTGAATATAGAGCACATTTATTTAAAACTTTTTCTTACTAAGTAAATCAAAGTTGTAGAGCTTATCAAAAGGTATCTAATGGTAGTAAAGATATTAAAATTGGTTTAGTGGTTCTTGAAAAATCTTTAAAAAACTTTTTCCTAATATATAAAATTTTTTTTAAAAAAATTAATTTTTTTTAAAGAAATATTATATATCAGTAAAAGGTTTTTTAAAGATTTCTTAAAAACTATTAAGCTAATTTTAATATTTTTATTATTATTAGATGCCTCTTGATGAGCTTTACAACTTTTAGTACAAGCCCAAAAGATAATTTATTTAGTAAGAAAAAAGTTTTAGATAGATGTACTCTACATTCAAACTTATAGTAAAATTTATATATAAAAAAAAAATTTTGTTTAGATGACTTGTGATTTGCCTATTAAATAATTAATACTACATTATTCTAGAAGGTTCTGAGATATTATTTGTACTTATATAGCTTGTGCAATCTTAGTTTGTACTCTATTATATTAAATAAACTAATAATTTAAATAATAAAGCAAAGATTGCTTTAAATAGAATTCTGTAAAAAGTATACTAATAAAATATATAATAAACTATTTTTTTTTTCTAATTCGGCTGTCCTGCCCTTGTTTATTTGGGATCAAGTTATTCAAAATTACAAGTAAAAAATTAC